AAAATTACAAAGATGGTAATTTCCTTATGTGTGTTTGACCACACTACTACATATTTCTTCAACAGAAAAACAGACTTACAAAATGACATATGTGTAGAAATAAGCCAATAAATGAAATTCAAAAAACCGAAAGTCCAAGGCCCTGCAGGGGGCATGGGATTGCACAGGAGCTGGGTTTCTGGTGCTGGAGTTGTGCAGGAAACAGCCTGCAAGCAAGAGAATCACTTGTTTTGCTTTCCACAGAGGCAGAGGCAAAGGCAGCCACACCACAGTAAAAATACACCCCAGGCCTGAACAAGCACTTGCTTATTTAGCCAGATGGTCACCTCCTCTTATCTGAGGCGCCACCGCATGGCTTCAGTTACTCGCATTCCACCATGGCCCAAAACTACTAGTGGAAAATTCCAGAAATAAGCAATTTAGAAGTTTCAACGCGCACTAGCCTGTGGATGACTATTTTTTCAAATGGGTATACTTCAGTTCTTTCACAAGTTTTAGCAGTCTAAAAACATCCTGGTGAAGAAATGGGCTAAAACGCAGGGCACCGACGTAAACACTCTCCATGGCACGCTGTAGTGTCACAGCACTCTGTCCCCTCCCACTGGGACATGAGCCATGCTTTTGTCCAGTGTACCCACACTATACACTCTGACCCCTTACTCACTTTGAAGTGTATTGGTTACCAGATCGACTGTTTCGGTGCACCAGTTTGTGTTCAAATAGCCCTCACTCTACTAGGCTTTAAAGCCTAACAGTACAGACGTGGCAATTTACACAGGTCAAAAAGACACACGATGCTTCTTTTACGTGAAAATATGCTTGTAATGTAAACACAGGGCCAGGTGTGGCGGTGCACACTGGTAATCTCAGGCTCTTCCTCAGATCCTCCCTGTGAATTCCCCAGAGAAGTGGGGCCCAGAGGAGAAATGGTACCACACCCACATCTAAGGCAGGAGGTACATGGGATCCTGGTAGGGACTGCAGGGAATAGCCCATGTCCCAGCACAGAGAAACTTCAACCACTCTGCGGATACAGGGGCCCCAGATCCACACACAATCTCTGCTGGTTGCCAAGAAATCTCACTCCCACGACATCCAAATACAAACTGCAGCTTCTAGACACCTGGCACCAATAAAGCCGAGGATAAACACAGTCGCGACTGCTCTGCACGCATCAAGCACATCAGCAGTGATTAGCCTCCACTTTGCTCCATCTTTGAGGTTGGCTAAAGAAAACACTAACATTTTCATCTAAATAAGAGCATCTTAGAGATTACGCTGGACAGATAAACATAAACAGGCCTGCACATTTCCACGCTCCTGAGTTCTAGCATCTTCCTCTGTATACACAAGTGAAAGAACCCAATAAATAATCTACATAAGCCGTGTTCAAGCAGTTTCTCTTTCCCCACCAGCAGAAGCACTAAAGTTACTTGTGAAACCCAAATTGGCCCCAGCCTGTGGCCATTTTTCAAATGGGTATACTGCTTTCACAAGTTCACCATTCTAAGAATATCCCGGTAAGGAGATGGATTAAAACTCACTACACCATCAAGACACAACTCCTGAACCTCAAAAAAAAAGACAGGACTTTTAACTTCCTACCACGTCCTCCTGGCCAAGCCTCCTATAGATACGCAGGCTGGGGTTGGCACTGGAGGCTGGGTCCAAGTCACAGGTGCTCTGTTTGGGAAGCACCAGAAAAGCACATCAAAAACAGCTGTCGGGCCTGACAGGTGCTTCAGGAAGGGCCTGATGCTGCTACACTGACACACATGGTCACCAGGCCCACATCCTCCCAGAACTCTCAGGCAGAGGTGCAGGCTTCCTTAAGGCCCTACCTGCACCCGAAGAAGAAGCTGCAGACAGACCACAGGCCAGCCACAAATTCCAGCACACCCCCAACTATCTAGAGACCAGGCTTTCTGAGAAATGGCCAGACAGAAGCTTGACAGGAAGCCAGGGAGTGGGTGAGTGGGAGGAACCAAGCCTGCTGCCCTCATCCTCCCCAGACAAGGACAGGCCCCTTGAGGCCCAAGGTCCTGCACAGGAGCCTCCTGGGTTCAGGCAGGACATGGAACCTGCTACACCGGATGCAGGTCACAACCCAGGCACAGGGCCAAACTCCTGCTACCACCCTGCCACCAACACCAAAGCCCAACCCGGGCCAGCACCACCCTTCATTTGCTCACCTCCTGAGGCAAAGGCAGGAGAGAAGCCTCCTCCACTGGTGTTGGGGACTCTTCCACACCTCTCTCCACTCTCCTGCCTTCAACTGGGCAAGCCCTAGCCAAGCCTTCTCAGATGCCAGGATGGCCGGGGCCACCACACTGAGCCTCCCGCCCCTCTTTGAAGGGGGTTATATACATCAAATTAGCAGTCTGGCATCACAGTCTTATAAGAGCAGACCAGTGGGTGGGAGGCTAACCTCAGCAGCTCTGTGGGAAGGAAGAGCAAGACTGTGACCTCAGAGACTTTCTCTCCCAGAGCAAGGGAGCAAGAGAACAAGGCAGAGCACCAACACCTTCTGCTAGTAAACACTTCTGTGTGTCTGGGTACCGCCACACGGAAAAAGAAGCAGGGAAGGACAAGGGAATTTCCCTATAGACACCACGGAGTCACTGGTACCTAACCTTGGGGCTGGAAAGAAGCAAGAAGCAGCTGTCCCAGTGACGCATAAGGCCAGCCGAAGTGTGAGGCTAGTCCACATGGGGCACCTGGGCGCAGGAGACGACAGCCTTTCTCCACCGCTGGCCCGGTGACTTCTAGGGATGTACCACAGCCCTGCTGCTGCTGGGGCAGACATCCAGGACAGGCTAGCCTTTGTTCCCAGATGCTGAGCAAGCTCCCAACCTCACCTACAGGCCACGCGTGAGTATAAAACATGGCCAACCACAGAGCGCAGGCCCCTGGGAGCACTGAGCAGTGTGACAGTACGTACAAACCAGCCATCTGGTCAAACGCTATGCTTGATGTCTCTGGGAAGGTCTTTTTTCAATGAGAATAACACTTTTAGCAGAGGTCTGGGCAAAGCACTCGCAGTGTGAGGGAACCTCATCTAATCAGTTGAAAACCTCCAGACACACTTCAGCCTGGCACTGCGCCAGCTGCCCGGCCTGTGGATGCTAGACTGGGCCTCCACAATCACACAGGCCAGTCTCATAATAAACACCCTCTTTCTGCATATATTCTATGGGTTCTCTTTCCCTAGAAGACCCCGGCCTGGCAAAGCACTGAGAGGTCTCCCATACTGTGCTGCATTTGGAGCAGAGCCTGGCTGAGCAGGGAACGCCCTGTGGGTAGGGAGCTCAAGGCGTCCACGGAAGGCTGTGCCTGTGCACAACTGGGCACATGGACGGCATCTGGCTGGGACACGCCACTGATGCGACCCGAAACAGGAAAGCCAGACAGCTAGCCCCCTGAGAAATACGGCACATGTGTTACATGGTCCCCCTGACATGTCACCCATCCTAAATAAGCTAGAGGCGCAGGGGAGGAATGAGGGTAGGTTTTATCTTCAAGCTGAAAACATACATAAGACTTCTGAAAAATCAGTTCAGCTGCTTTCTAATGAGTGGAGCCCCCTAAACGCAGGAAAGCCTCCCAAAACTCAGGCCTCTGGCTTGCCATGCAGTCACTGTGGCTCACATGTGCACACATGTGCAGGCACACACATGTGCATGTACACAAACATGCACATACATGCATGCACACACCTGGTTGGTCACAGACACCATCAGCTTCTATTTTTGAGCTCTGCTATGCCCAGGAGCCACCATTAGTCCCACAGGCAGGTGCTCAGTGGTCCTGCCACGCTACCAATGCCTGAGCAGTGCAGCAGGCACGAAGAAAAGCAGTCCGGATGTGGCAGACCGGTGGGACACCCAGCCCATCTGAAGGACATCAGCGCCTGTGTTTCAAGGGCGCAAAGCTCGTGGCCACACACAGCATGGCTTGGAACTTGGATGTCTATGACATAGTGCCAAGGAGACAAAGCAGTCCGCCAAGTCCTCCAGTGGCCCCCGCTTTCTGGATGCTGTGTGTGCGCATGCGTGTGCACTTGTGGGAACGCACAGAAGGGCAAGATGTTCATGGCTCTCATCCAGCACGAGAGGAAGCGCTTCGCTTTCTCCACTTTCTGAACAATGGAAATGCCATTAAAATAAAAGACAACAGTCAGCACATCGTATTTCCTGTTCACACTGTCAGTCTCAACAAGCCCTTCTGGAGAAGTACTACTTAAAAGCCAAGGCCCCACCCACGGACAGAAACCTGACAGAATCAGATAGAAGGCCCCTTCCTGTTTCCTGCTTCAACGTGCCCTGCCTTTATTCCAGCAGTCAGCAGAGTTTCCACCATCCTGCTTCATCGCTTCCCACCAGGGCAAAGTGTATCTCGGTTCTATTTTCCTCCAGATAAAACCTGCTGAAATAATCCAGAAAAATCTTCCAGCCCATCCCTGCCCACCCCATGTCCCAATGGGAGTCCTCTTCCCCTGCTGTACACATGGCCTATACACATGGCTTCATCTGCAGAAAGGGTCTCGGCGGATGGGATCTGGTGAGGGCTCTAAGGGCTCTAAGAATTGGTCAACCAGAGGGCTGTAAATCCAAAGACAAGGAGTCCATGTGATGATGGGGGCCATAAGCTGAGAACCCCCCCACCCCAGGGCCACCAAGGCCCACAGAGACAGGAGGGGATCCTCTCTAGAGCCTCTCAGAGGAAAAGCACGGTCACCACCTTGATTTGGACATCCAGCACCCAAGATGGGAAGAACAGGGTCTACCGTTGTAAGGCCCACCCCTGGGTGCCACAGAAGACTCACAGCTGTGTGCCCCAAGATTCTGCAGGGAGGGCACACTTGCTTCCAGACTGGAAGACAGGGAAGGCGGATGGTTCCTACCACAGACTGAGAAAATGTGTGGGACGAAGCAAAACAAGCTGCCTCACCGGCCCCTCCCCCACACCCTGCTCTGCCAACCAGCCTCTGGCCTGGCCACCCCAACTCACCCCAGCCCCTTCTCTTTCCCTGGGTGCCACTGCTGCACACCACAGCAGCCCTGTGCCACACGCATGGTTCTGTGGGTGAGAAGTCCCAACTGGCCACAGCCAGGGCTGTCTCAGCTGTGCCAACACTGGAGATCACATGGGCTGGCTCAGCTGGCGGATGCAGGGTGCATTTGCCACAAGGCAGCTGCACATGTCAGGGCTTCCAGCAGCAGGACCTTGGGATGGCCCTGAGCCCCTGGCCCTCTGTGGCTGGCCACGTGGCTGTCACGGGCTGACTCTCCAGGCCACCGCATGGCTCCCAGGGTGAGCACTCTGGTAAACACCCAGAGCCGTGATGGAGGTCACTGAGCCTTGCAGCCACAACATTCCACTGATTAGAGCAACTGAGAGGCCACTCATGCACAGGGAAGAGACAGGCAGCCTGCAACCTGCAGCGAGCCAGGGCAGAGGCAACAGATCCGGAACCAAAGTTCAGAATTCCATCTCCTCTCCCTGCTCCACCAAGGCTGTTTCTGCCACTCCTTCTGAGTTCAGGCCTGCACTTCTGACTTCCAGCAGCTCACCCCATCCTTGCCAAACACTGCCCACCCTCAAAGTCCCCTCCAGGACCTCGAATGCCCCATCAATACCCTCAAGCCGTCTCGCAGTGCAGGAGCACGTCCCGTTTGTGGTCCTACCAGTCCACCCTGTGGACACCCTGGCACACACCTCTTTACGCTGAGGACTGGACAGTGATGGCCTGACAGACAGATGACATGCAGTGAGACAGAGCAGTGAAGCAAGGCGGTATAGGCACAGTGACAGGAGCCCTGCCCCTTTCTGGAGCAGGAGGCGGTGGCCAAGTGCAGAGGATGCCCTGGCAGAAGGCAGAGCCCTTGCTCCTTCTCACAGAACAGGCTAGAGAGCGGGTGTCACACAATGTGGGCCAGAGGTACACTGTTCAGACAGGGCCAGTGGCAGCCCCTGGAAGTGGAGGCCCCAAACTGTAAGGGACCAGCAGGAGGACGAGGGCCCAGCCAGTGTGCCAGACCGTGCAGTGGTCGCAGCCCACAGGCCTGGACGAGAGTTTCCGCAGGCAGCACATGCACATCCAGAGTAATGTTTGAAAGCAGAGGCAGAAAAACACCGTGGGGTACAGGTTGGGCATCCCTTCCCAGACTGCCTCAGAGCTGGAGCACTCCTAATCTGGGGACTATTTGTACGTACTGAGTGAAGTACCATCATCTTGGGGTAGCGCTCAGAACGCAGAATTCCTTAGCTTCACACATACCCACGTACACAGCTGAGGGTTACTTTCAAGAACATCCTAAATAATTTTGTGCATGAATCTGAGTTTCATGGACTCGTCCCCTCGTGCATCATCATCCTGGTGCTCAACAAGTTCATTCTGGAGCAGTTCAGATATTGGGTTAAGGATCCTCATCACTACCAAGTAAGAAAAAAAGAGAAAGCCCCTGGTGAGCCAAGCTGAAAGGCACAGACAGATACCGAAGGCCACACCGATGCAGCGCGACCTGCAATACCCAGAGACAGCCAATGTGGCCAGCTGGAAGGAACGGAACCCTGCTGTCACCAGCTGGGGGACAGGTGAGCGAAGCGACAAGACCACGCAGAGGCTGGCAGCACCAACTCTGGTCCCGAGCACCCCACGCTGCCCTCCAGGGTGCACTGCAAATATCTCACTGCACGAGAAAGGAGATGGGAAGATGGAGTGTGGAGAGTCACACTGGTAACAGCCTTCCCTGGATTCCAAGTTGGGACAGGAAGTGGACTGACGACAACACAGAGGCCCCTGCAAAACTGTGGGAGCCGTGGGAATGCGGGAGATGGAAGCCACTTGAGGAAGACAGCAAAATGCCACAGGCCAGGGACCCTGGCTCCCACAAGCCCACGATGGCCACAGCACTAAGTAGATGCCACTGTTGCCAGCTATTTCTAGTTCCTGCTGTGCTCTTGGGGCATATACACAATATACACAGCAGAGAAAGGCCACATGGGGGCCACAGGTGAGTTACCAAGCCAAATGGAAGACCAGTGCAAGATCATAATCTTAGACCCAGAATCTACTCTTAGTATCTGCTCTGACTAGACGGACCATGTTAAGTGCCCAGGGAGGCCACATCGGGAGACCCCAGGTCTCCAGCAGAAGAAGCTGAACTCTTCTCAACCCTGCAGAGCTAACAGAGGGCACCAAGTTAGCAGAGGTCACTCTGAGCAAAGGTCCATAGCCCAGGGGTGGGGAAGGACACCACCAATGAGGAGCACTCGCTGTCGCTGGCTGGTGACAGGGCTGTGTGAGGGACAGTCTGCCCATCTTTATTGACTGAAATGTAAGCACCAGAATGCATCAAAATAGTCCTCACACAAACACTCTGGGCTGGCGTCTCCAAACAATGAACATGGAGTCTCCTCTGAGCAGAGAAAAGGGAGAAGGAGGCTGGAGGTCTCTGCCCTTCATTTTTGCAGTGAGACCTCTGTGCAGAACCTTCCATCTTTCTTGCAGTAGTGAATGTGCCTATCATGCACAACAGTCTCTTCCATGTGAAATAAAACCTGTGCCCTCCAGCTCAAGAATGTAGCACAGTTCCTTATAAATAAATGTAGACCTGTAATTCCCCAGAGGCTGGTTTTCCAGGACCTTCCAGGTTTCTATTTTAAAGGTCATGTTGTCACTGCCTGGTTCTGCCGAGCTGGTGAAAACCAAGCCCTGCTGGATGGACTCTTGTGGAGCGGAAGGAGAACTGTGAGTCCCTGCTTGGAGAACACCCCATCCCCCCCAAACACAACAGGCAGTGGCCACTGCTTCCAGGGGAGCAGGCAGCCTCCCAGGGTTCCCTGCTTGAAACACAAGCCACTGAAGGCCTCTATTTTCAAATAGCTAGACCTGCAATTCCACCTGCACAAGAGCTTTGCTCTGACCTAGTTTCCCTGCCGTGAGTGTGCAGTCCAACCTCAGGCCCTGCAGTGGCGGCACAGAGCTAGGACAGTGCACTTACTAAGGCGCTGGTGTCTCTCTACCCCAGAACCCCGGGCATCAGCCTGAGTGGAGAAAAGGACAGGAGTCCATGGTAAAAGATCAGCTAGCAAGAAACAATACCAGTGCACACACACGCTGAGTAACTGGACATTTCAAACTGCCTGTGCAGAACAGTATGTCACAGGGACAGTATTTTTTAATCGAAAGATACACAACACAGCTTTTCAATAAAAAGCAATGAGGGGGCCCAGCCCTAGCTCAGTTCTTTAAGGGGCCGGGGAGATGGCTCAGTAGGATAAACACTTGACTGGCAAACTCAAGGATCTGAGTTCAATCCCCGGTTCCGCAAAAAAAATAATAATAATAATAAAATAAAAAATAAAAAATAAATAAATAAATAAATAAAAAGCAATGAAATAAAAGTATCAGTGTGCCTCCCATATTGAAAAGCATGACCGTTAATTTAAAAAATGTTTTGGGGCTGGGGAGATAGCTCAGTAGTCTAAGCGCCTGCCTAGAAAGTGCAATGACCCAGGTTTGATTCCTAGTACTGCATGCTGTGCCAGCCCTACCCTGGGCATTCGAAGCTGGCCACCAAAACTGGGCATGGTGGCACACGACTGTAATCCCAGTGCTGGGGTGGCTGAAACAGGAGAATTGCTACAAGTCCGGGCTGTGTAGCGAGACCCTGTACCAAATATATAAATTTAAAAAAAAAAGAAAAAAACTTTTTGGTTTTAAAATGTGCTCCTGTGTGTGCTTGGGTGTGAACGTTTAGGTGTGAGTGCAAGAGTGCGGATGCTTAACAACAGAAGGTCCTGGGGGTCCCTGTCACAGCTGAAAGCTGCCAGCATAAGACCCCTCCATCTCCTGAAGGCCTCCTGATTGCCGCCATCAGTTTTACCAATACGGCACAAGCATGGAAACCGCACTGAGGTGAAGTTTCAGACACGACTCTGGGACCCACATGCAGCCCAGGTCGAGCTCTGCTAAGGGACATGAAAGCAGTCACACTTCTCTCCTGGGAACCACCGAGGGACGACCCCATGGACACAGTGGGCTTCAGGCCAAACGCAGGCCCACGGTACAGACCCCGTACGGCTGCAGTACACAGGGGCCGTGCCACCACCGGGCAGGCAGTGTTTCGCTCTTGTGACAGTCTGTGAGGCTGCAGGTGCCTCCATGAACGAGACATCTCGTCCTTCTTGCCCCTTACTGTTGCGGCCTCTGCTTCCAATCCCATCTTTGGAGTTGTTGCTTGTGACCATGTCATGCTTCACAGGGACCTGGTCATTTTGGTTCCTGCCCAAACAACTGCACAATTATGCCAAATGACAGAAGCCAGACTCAAAGACCATAAGTCATACGGTTCTGTTTACGTAACATTTGGGGACAGCTATAAGGACAGAAAACACATCCCTGCTTGCCAAGACTGGGGAAAGGAACTGCCTTCAGAGAGGCTCAAGACAACCTTTGAAATTATGGAAATGGCCTGTATCACAAGTTGTTGATGGTTACATAATTCCATGCCTTTATCAAGTGGCAGAACGATACATCAGATAGGGTAGATGTCACCGTATGTAAGTTATACACTGAGCAGTCTCACACATTAACATGGACTCGAAGTCTTAGAAATATAAAATCTGAATAGTCATCTGTTAAGAAAGAGAATCATAATTAAAACCTTCTTCATAAGAAAGCCTCAGAGCCTGACAGCTTCTCTAGTAGATTCTATCAAACATTCAACACAAGAATATTTGAATCCTATAAAAATTATTTATAAACAAGGACAGAGAAAAACTATCCTCAAAACATACAGTAGGGCCAACAATACTCTTGAGGGCCAGGGAGATAACTCAGTGGAATAAGTGCTTGCCTGGTAAGCATAAGGTCCTGAGTTTGATCCCTGGTACCACAAAAACAAACAAACAAAAAATTCTCTTGTTATCAAAACCTGAAAAAGACATTATAAGAAAACAATATCCTGGGCCAGCCTGATAGCTCAGCAGACTAAAGCACCTGCTCAGGCAGAGCATGCCATGCCAGCCCTGCCCACAGGGCACACTGAGACAATGACTGAGACTGGGCATGGTGGCGCA